ACATACACACACACACACACACACACACACACAAGTACACTCGCGCACAGACATTCACTGCCCCTACAGCACCAGTCCCCCTCCCTCCCCTAAATTCTTTCTCAGAAAAGAAACAATAATAACATTGATCTCGAAAAATCCCCTGGAGCTTACAATTGCCCTTCCCCTCTCAGGATAATCGTTTGGCCGTTGGGCGAAAACGACGCTAATCAGTCGAAAAATAACGTGAACTAACTCAACGACCTGCTCCAGGATTCGATCAAATTATCTGAGAGAGTTTTAGGTAGCTATTAGTGAGTTCAAACAGTTTCGGTTCGAGCTTTAACCAAGTAAAAAGAAACCCGATGTATTTTGAGTGAAGTGTTTGTTGTATCGGAGAGACGATAAAAAAAAGCTGGGAGCATAACAATATGGACATAATGCACCTGACCCAAGTCTTGTTTTAACCTAGCTGGGCCAGCCTTGGTAGTGAGTGCTGTTTGGCTTTCTACCGTGCTTGGAAAAGACCTAAATTTACTTACTTACTTACTTGTCTTACTTTCTTACTTGTCCACTGTGTTGGGGTCACTGCAGTCGGAACATGTCCATCTACTCTGCTCTTCAGACCTAAATTTGTTTCCTAAAAGGGATGATTTACTTTATCGAATATCACCGTCTTTCTGAAAAGGTGACCTAACCCACTTTGCCCGGTTTGAAACTCGAAAGTTTCCGGATTTTAAATGACCTAAAGTGTGTTCAAATACATGTAAACGATGTCTACGGGAGAAAAATTGGTGATGTCACATTTTCCTACTAACTGGAACTTAGATACAGAAACGCCCTGTTTTTCTTTTTGGGGGGAGAATTTTATTAGACGTAATTTTTTGTGCTATTATTCTGTTGAAATATTCCATTTTAGTGGCTATTTTTAACAGATTGCATCTTATTATGTCATCACTGAATTGGTTATTTGAATTGGTTATCTGAATTGGTTATTTGGATTGGTTATTTGAAAAAAAGGTCAATGTTTTTATGACCTTGTCAGTCTTTCTGTGTCGTCTTTAAATACCATTATTCATGGGACTGTAGTCAGTTACCATTCCATCTCACTCTTGAACGATTTCCTCTTGTCACATGTTCACATCTCTTATTTTCTTGGACTTCTGCCCAGCAGCAGTGTTTGAATGACAACAGAGAGTCTTTAAAATTATCACAGCTGTGTTGATGGAGGCGTAAAGCATCTGCAATCAATCAATTATATATGATTTAAGTATATGTATAAGTGTATATATATATAATACATATATATTCTATATATATTCTCTATATATAATAGCAGATAGATAGATAGATAGATAAATAGATATATAGATAGATAGATTCCTTCTATCTTCTCAATGCTTTCCCCAGGATTGAATCGGGTGCACAAGGTACTTCGGGGTGACTTCAGAACGCGTGCTGAAATCTTAGTGCGCTTTGTGGAGCCAGACACGATGCGAGCAGTTCTGAAGGAAGCCAAGGAGAAGAAATGGAGGAGGATGCTGGTAGACCTGCCAGTGGACGACACTACTATTTTTATGAAAATGGTAACGAGATTGGTTTTATTTGGCTTTATTCGTTATTTCTGTCTGCAGAATCTTAATTTTACGCATCACTAGTCTGGCTTTTAGGAGGGTTCTAGACATTTCAGTTCCAACTATTATTTTTATTTAGTTTCTATTTGTTTTGCTATCTCTTAATCTGTATTTCTTATTCTTTTGCTTTTTTTCGTATTTTTTCTTCTTTGTTTTGTCTTTTGTTATGTACCTGTCTACTGCTTTTGTGTTGATATGTCTCTTCTTTTTTCACGATCTGAATCTTCCCCTGTTCTTATATATCACTAAGCGACACTCGCATTCTTTGATTCTTTGTCTTGTTCCTCCCCAACCGATTTTCTCCCCCCCCCTTCTCTCTCTCTCTCTCTCTCTCTCTCTCTCTCTCTCTCTCTCTCTCTCTCTCTCTCTCTCTCTCTCTCTCTCTCTCCGACTCCTACCTTTTCTAACAACTTCCACGCAGTCTGCCTTTAGATTTATCTTTGTCAATCTCTTTACGGTGCAGTTGCATTAATCGTCAGTTTTAGCTATTAACATTCATTGTACTTCCTTTTGATTCACTGGGACTGTCTGGATGTGTCAGTTTGACTCTTAGTGCGCATGTGAGAGTGTGAATGTGCCTGTGTGTCGGTTACCTCAGTGGCTTTTTACTGTGATTCTGTTTGTGAAAAATTGTATTACCACGCATGGTTGTGCATGTGTGTGTGTGTGTGTGTGTGTGTGTGTGTGTGTGTGTGTGTGTGTGTGTGTGTGTGTGTGTATGTGTCCGTGTATATGTTAGTGTGTGTGTATGTGTGTGTGCCTGTCAGTCTTTGGGAGCGTGCGGGTGTACATTTGTGTGTGTATGCGCGCGCGTGTTTCTAAATGTGTGTGCGTGTGTGTGTATGCGTGTGTGTGTGTTTGTGTGTGTGTGTGTGTGTATGTCTGTATGTCTGTATGCAATGAAAGCTTAAGCATGTCTATGTATATGTATATATATATATATATATATATATATATATATATATATATATATATATAAATATATATATATAATATATATAAAAATATATATGTATATATATACTGGTGAATATCTTAGTGTTATGTCTGCGGAAGCACATTCTAAAGAGTTCCTCTAAGTGTATACGAATGCCTGATTGTGTTCGTGTTTAGTTTTTCTCTTTGGAAGACAATGTAATGTTTTGGAAGAAAGCAAGGCCACACGCAAGCAAATATTATGTATATATACAATTTCTCAAAGCTGTTCCTTTTCCACGTTAATGCATCTTTCTATGCATGTTCTTTAATTGAATGATAGTTTGTCCGTTTGTGTGTGAGAGAGATGGATAGAAAGAGAGATAGAAAGAGAGAGAGAGAGAGAGAGAGAGAGAGAGAGAGAGAGAGAGAGAGAGAGAGAGAGAGAGAGAGAGAGAGGTTGTTCAAAGAGAAGGAAGGAGAGATCGTGGGAACAGACATTTAACATTGTTAGAGTGAAAGATAATAATAGAAAAAAAATAAGGTGAAAGAGTCAACAATGATGAAGACACAATTTAAAAATCAGTCCTGGGGAGATTGAGGCAGGGATTAACAAAAAGTAGGCAGAGACAGATGGTGACAGAAAGGACAGATATATAGAAAGGTCTAGATTGAAAGAAAAAGAGATAGAGATAGAGAAAGAGAAATGAGGGAAGAGAGATAGAGAGAGAGAGAGAGAGAGAGAGAGAGAGAGAGAGAGAGAGAGAGAGGGGGGGGGAGGGTAGGGAGAGGGAGAGAGACAGGGAGCTGGGTACGGATAGAATGTTCAAAAGATGGATAGACAGATCCTAACACACAGACAACCGAGGTACTCGATAAAACAACTTCCCAGCTCTGGAGTTGGACCTGTGTCTTTAGAGTGCAACTATGAAGAGCCTAGCCGTTACAGCTTAGACCCAGGTATTGACAGACTGGTAGACAGATAGTTGAATAAATATAAGGACTCACGGGAATAACATGGTTTTGAGTAAAGTGAAGTAAAGTAAAATAAAGTAAAATAAAGTAAAATAAAGTATAGACTAAAAGATCAGCTATTGGTTATGGGTAGGTTTAAGGACCCTTTTAGCAAACTCTGAATAGATCGATTATCTCCAATACAATAATAGTATCATGCAGATGTGGAATGATGCTCATTACCAAAACAACGCAAGTTTAAGAACACCATATTGAGGATTCAAACAAAGATCACACACGGAGCTGTCCTCCTTCAACTTAGGCAACGGTGCACCCTTAAGATAGATATAGGAAAATGGAAAGACAACAAGCAGACAAATAAGATTTGTCAGACTGAGACCGAAAAGGTAGTGAGGGAGATGTTTCCTACTGATAAAGAAGACAAACGATAGCGAGCAAGAGAGATAAGCTGTGTAGCTCACGGAGGGGGTACCATGTGCCATGATAATCAGGACTAATCTAATCAAGGCTCTGTGGTTCTTTCCACTATCTTCCCCAGGCCTTACAAGAGGGCATGATTGACCCATACCATCATTACATCATCACAAATCTGGTGAGTACTACATCACAGTAAAATGTTTGCCTATAATGACGACTAAATTTGCACGTGTAAGAGGGTGTGTGTGTTTGTATTATCCTTTTCCGTAAGTATTTGTGAAGTGAGGGCGGGGTGTTTGTGTTTTATGCATATTTCTGTTAAACGGATTATGCATGAGACGAGTATAGACAGAGAAGAGAATAGTGGATACTGAGAGTGTCATGGGCTACTAATCTTGATTATCAAAGGAAAAGGGGACACACACACACTAGGGAGAGAGAGAGAGAGAGAGAGAGAGAGAGAGAGAG